TTCGTTCCTTTTGATAAATATGTAAAGGAGGACAGGTTATTTACTGCATTTAATGTATGCACTGGAGCAACCTCTTGTTCTAGAATAAGGTGCTCCACAAGGCAGCCAAGTAAAACCTTAAAATGATTCTCAGACCTGCTCCTAAAGAGATGTGATGAGTCTACATGCAGATATTCGACATCATCCTTCATTACTTATTTCACAGATATAGCTGCATTCTTGATCCCCCTCAAAAAGTAACAGCTTGACAACACTTTTTCCTGAACAGTTAGCCAGGAGCACTTCTAAATATTCTTGAATCTTACAACATAGGATCCGTTAGCAGTCAGAGTCTATCTGAGGTTAACTTCTTGCAGCATCATGATTTAAAGAAATGCTGTTCACCATTTTCTGGGGCTACTCCTATACATTTAGGGCTTGATCTGTCTACAGCTGGTGTGCAAGTATGCTGTTCTTATTCACACTCAAAAGAAAGCTGTTGCATCACATTATTTGCACTAGCAACTATGCTCATCCTTGTACTTTTGCTACAAAACGTTCACTTGTGGGTATTCAAGATTTTCTAGAAAGTTGCCAGACTTGTTTTCCATTTCAAGGACTAAAAGCTATTCAGTATCTCGGACAACGTGACAAAGCTGGTGGGTTTTAAAATAGTGACCCCTCTGTCCCAATTCTTATTTTCTTTCTTTTTTTTTATTGTACATACAAAATCAGACTGTACACATTTTCTCTCCATAAAAGTTAAAAATTCTGAAAATATGGTACTAATGTTACAGAATCATGTTTTTTAAAAAAGTAGTGAGTGGGAAGTTATGTTTCAGGGGCTTGGTTTGTAGCGATGCTGTTTTATCCCAACCTTTAGTCACTTTTGAGAAATTAGTCTACAAGTATCTTATTTTTAAAAGCTAAACAATCCCTAAGAAAATGAGGCAACAGAAAAATAACTCTTTGGGGACAGAGCAGCTGCAGGTCGAAGCCAAAGCTCACTCCTGTCTGCAGAGGGGTTTTAGCGATTCCAGGATGCCCGAGGGCTGGCTCTGGAACATGAGGGGCAGACGCAGCCACACAGGTCACCCAGTGTCCATGGTCAGGAGATACAGCAGCCACATGACATACCAGTAGGGATTTTCCTCAATGATACCATAATCTTGTTCTGTCAAAAGCCAAGCTGTCTTCAGAATGGGCCAGCACCATTTATCATATCCATCTCAATGGCCATGACAAATTTGGGTATTCTCAGTTTCAGTATTAAGTTTCAACTGGAAATCCTGAACACAATGAATTTATCCCTAGAAAGCTCTACAACAAAATGCCAAACAATGAAAACAATAAAAACCCCCACTGCAGTGTGCAATAATCTCTCGCAAATAGCACAAACTCAAGATCCAAGAACTAAGGTAAAAGGTTATTGCTGAGTGATTATATTGAGGAACTCAATAATGGTAACGCAAACCAAACAGAAATAATGTCCCGCATCAGTCTTATACTAACTGCTTAACAAAGGAAGACTTCTGCTTTCTTAAATTCCTTATGCAAATTGCTATTTTTTGTATAATGAATATATTGCTTCTTCTCTATTGCTCTGAGAATTTGCAGCTGTTTATAGTACTCGCAACAAGGAGGATTTTATTGCTCTTGTACTAAAAACATATTTCCCCTTATTGCTGAAATCTTACTGCTAGTAGAAATGGTTAAAAAAAAACCCAATTAAAAAAAAAATCTTCTCCCACGCTTTGAGGATGAAAATATGAAAAAACTGACTACAGTATATTTTGCCCATCAAGATACAACCTGTTAGTAACTTCAAGCGTGTTGTGTGATGGGACAACAAAATGACAGAATCCTGCAGGCTGGCTGGATTCCTGCCAGTTTCAGAGGGATCCTGGATGGATACTGGCACCTTGCCATACAGAACTTGGGCCTACACTATAACTCCGAGGTGACAGCAGAGACTTGCTTAATTCTGCAGGGTCTGAAAAGCAGCTGTCTGTCCTGCATTTCTTTTGTGGAAGTGTGGTAGGCAGCTCCGTACTCAGCCCTGCTCCTATCCCCCAGAGTTCATTCACAGAACTGTTTCCACAGCATCTGTTCAGCACTGCAAACCCTGTCACAGTGCATAGAATCACAGAACGGCCTAGGCTGGAAGGGACCTTAGAGATCATTTAATCCAGGCTCCCTGTCATGGGCAGGGATGCCTCTCAACCAGATCAGGCAACACATGAGGACTGAACAGGGATCGAACATGCAGCCTTGGTGTTAACAGCACCATGCTCACAGCTGTGGGCAAACCGCTGCCATTGGATTCCAGAAGTATTTTCTGGCCTATGCTGCACAGACTCAACTTAAGAATGTATTTCTGGAAGCAACAACATCCACATTGGAGGTCACAGCAGTAGCTTGGGAGGCATAATCACATTTCTTATCCGTTGGTTGACAGGTAACCGTGTGCTACTTCTCAAACAAGGGCAAATCACATCCCTATGAGCTCGCTTTTTGGGACTTCTATAATTAATCCTTTTTTCCTCCATTTGACTCACAGCTCCTCAGGAGAGGAGCTTCCAATTACCAATCTCCCTTCTCTGGCACAAGGAAAAGGTCGGCTCCCCCGGTGCTCCAGAGAGCCTCTGGATTTGAGCAACCTGCAGAATGAAGAACATGACAAGGACACCAGGTGAACAGCATGAGAAAAGGGGACGATATTATCAAGAACAGGTCTGCGTAAGCAAAACAACAGTTGACCTCAGGACTGAATTTTGGTCACAATTGTAGCTGCTCATCTTAACCACACTTTTTAGCAATTTGATAAAGAACAAATGTGGGGGGAAAAGGCAGGGGGGTAAACTGCACGACTAACTTTTTGATTTTAAAAGTGCCATTCTGCATAATTCAGCCTCTCTACGGTATTCAGCTCATGACTTTTACTGACATTTATTCCCAATGCTTTGCATACTTGCAAAACTGCTCACATACATAGCATGGATATTTATGAAGTGATTATTTCTTATACAAAAATGGAACAAAATGGAATGACTAGAGTTGCATCAGCATTCAGAAGTAGATAAAGAACACCAATATCCTACACTGAGCAGGGGCCACAGTTTAACTGTGCTGAGCATCTGTAAATCACAGTAAAGCCAAGAGAGCTGTGAGCTCACAGCTGTACTGCACCATGCAATTATTAAACTAATCAGATTACTAAGAGCCAAATATGAAAGTTGAACCAAGTAAATAACAGAATTTGAACGTAGCATTGCAACTGAAAGTAATTATTGCTCATAAAAATCTCTACAGAGCCTTGTTTACAGACCATTCACATTTGAGATTCAGCTTTGTGTTTAGCATACAATTCTCAACGTCACAGAAACTTTGCCACAAAAAGCTACAGTCATCCAAATGTCCATGTGAAAAGGATAGATTCTATTTTAAAAAATCCAGACCAGCAACACAGTTGTCTCTACTATCTATACTATACAGGTATATTTTTTCATTGAATTGTGAATATTGCTATCTTTACACTTGAGTTTGCTATCTTTACACTTGAGTTTGTTGTTTGTTTGGTTTTTTTTTAAACTGCAGTGGAAGATACTGAAGCAACAATACAGTATGCTGACTTTGGCATTCAAGGGAATATAACCTCCTACTGCCAGGGCATTAACCATGGAGACCCATGGAAGCGGTACTGCAAACTCCCACGCATGGGCCCTGGGGCACACCTTCAGTTTCACGAAGGCATCCGTGAGGAAGATTTTCTCTCTGACAACCACAGCCTCAAATTAAAACCCAATGTTTTATTTCTAGTGCATTCTAATGTGGCTTCAGTAAAAGGTTAGAAGGAGTTTGAAATTTAACCATTCATGAGAGACAGCTCTGCATTTTAGACCAGAACTATCCCTCTACAATGAAGTGAACTGCTGCACATGCAGTGTGAAGTATCACAGTCTGTAATGGATAAAACTGCCAGAAAAGGAGAAAATGTTGTTTCATGTTGCAGTTCTGGCTGCATAGAATTACGAAGCAGATATGCTCCGAGAATTTATAAACCAGTATTTTACATCATACAGCAGAACAATGAAAACAAGAGGCAGTAGTTTTCACTGGATAGCAACTTAAGGGAAATTATTTCATGTAGATGTTAAATACGTGTTGCAAGCAATTTGCAGGTTATTTTATTAGATATTTTCTTATACACTTCTGAAAAGCTAAACTTGTCTGAGAGACTTAATGTTGCATCTATTACAAATGCATCACCAAGAGGCCATGCTGTTTCATCAATTTCGAAACTCCCCTCTAAATTCCTCTTAATTTTAATAGTATAATGAGCTCCGATGTCCTGTATCTAAGTGAAAACATATTGCTGACTGCTGAAGTGGAAGGCAAAGCACATCTTCTGTGTTAACACCCTGTCATAAGACAGAACAGGTAACCATGTAAAACAATTATGAAGCTAATTCAAGCCGAGATGTAAAAAAAAAAGCTATACAAGCACTTTTTTACTTGGAGCAAATTTGTTGCACTGAGATTATTACAATAAATACCATATAAATCTATACAATTGGCCATTATTTTGAAGAGTATTCTGATGATATACAAATGGAGTAGGAGGACTTGGTTTCTTCTTTTCTCATTTTTTTGTTTTAAAAAGAATTAAGGAGAGGAAAAAAAATATCCTGAAAATAGACTGTAACATGTAGCATAAACAATTTCAAAGGAGGTATGCTGTTTCAGTCTAATTTTAATTAGCAAACAATGTAAAATCATAACAAACATGGCAAAGTCTGAGTAACGTAACAAAAAGACCCTGAGCAACATTATAAATCTGGAAAAACACTGATTATTTTGATTTTGGAAATCTCCCTTACACCACTTGATTCTTTTGGTCACTGGGGTCGTGCATCCTGTGAACCCATCATACACCATTTAATGAACGTGTCTAAACCAAAGACAGCATCGCAGGAATGTCTGAAAAGAAACACGTTAAGGAGCATCCCGCCAGCTGCCTGTCAGACATCGCTGGGCGATCGTGCTCTCTGAGACAGGTTAGAAGGAATACAGCCACAGCAGACGAGCCAAAGTGCTTTCTGTATTTCCTGGTTTCTAAAAGCATATATTACAGGATTGATGATGGAATTGTAGGTAGCTGGCAGGAGAGTGGCATAGGTGTATATAGAAGGATAGGTGTAATCTGCTATCAAAGAATAGAGCGTAAAAGGCATCCAGCAAGCAGCAAAAGTCCCCAAAATAATGGCCAAAGTAGAGACTCCTTTTCGGGTGGTCACATAGTGGGAAGTGGCCAGGAAATGGTGTTGCAAGGCAATCTGATGGGCATGGCGCATCACGATTTTACAGATCTGAATGTAGAGCTGCAGCATGAGGGCAAACATAAGCAAGAAAGAGACTGAGAGGACAGCTGCATTATTTTTAGTGAGTGGTCTGATAACACTGCAGGTGGATTCGTCTCTGAGGCAGTTCCAGCCCATTACAGGCAGCAGTCCAATACAGATAGATGCTCCCCAAAGCAATATAAGCATGACATAGGTAAAAGTGACAGTCCTCTCCGAATTGTAAGTCAAAGCGTAATACAGGGAGAGGTAACGATCAACAGTAATAGCCAGCAAGCTGCCAACAGATGCTGAGAAAGAGGCAACAATCAGTCCAATCGTAACCAGTTTCGTAGCTTCTGATTGCAGAAGGTATGCAAAAACGAAATTGATGATCAATCCAACGCCCGCTAAGAGATCTGCCAGCGCCAGGCTGCCTATCAGGAGGAACATGGGGGCGCGAAGACTGGGATTATGGAAAATTATAAGAACCACAACGGCATTTTCGCAGGAGATAAGGGTCCCTGAAGTACACAAGACAATGTCCCAGGGGTTTACCAAAAGCTCTGGCTCTGGGTCTACAACAGGAACCAGGGAGGAGCCTGTGGCTGAGGCATTCTCGGTAGAGCTGGCTTCTACATGCTCCTGAGGCAGCCAGCTCAAATTAACCTTCAGATCTTCATTCATTTTAACCCCTGTCTTCTTCAACGGAAAAACATTTTTTTTAATGTTCAGACACAGCACTGGACACAGCACCCCCAGAGCATGCAATGTCCTTAGACGGCAACACCAGCCTAACGGGCAGGCAGGCACTTGTTACATAAATGTGACAATTAAAAAAAAAAAGGGAGGGGGGGAATATTTAAATCTGCCCGAGATCATCTGCCGAGGGGCCAGAGGCTGAATGATCCTAGCGGTGGCTCCCTTCACCTGCACACGGATGGAAAGCAAGGGAGG